CCAGCACTTTGAGAGGCCAAGACAGGTAGATCACAAGGTCAGAAGTTTAAGACCAGGCTGGCCAAGATGGCGAAACGCTGTTTCTACTAAAAATACAAAAATTAGCTGGTCACTGTAGCAAGCACCTGTAATCCCAGCTATTCAGGAGGCTGAGGCATGAGAATCTCTTGAACTCAGGGTGCAGAGATTGTAGTGAGCTGAGATTATGCTGTTGCGCTCCAGCCTGGGCGACAGAATGAGACACCATCTCAAAAAAACAAAAATGTGTTGAGGTGTGGCCAGAAGCCATGCCAGTCGAGAAGAGGGATCTCTAAACAGAGCGTGCGTGTATGGTGGGAAATAGTGAAAGGAGCCTTCCAGAATCATCAGCCCCTCACCTGACCTAAAGAACTAGCTGGCTTTGTCATCAGTTTTGGAGATAAATGTGTAGGGCTGGTTTCTCGTACTTACTGAAGTTGCTTAGGAGAAACATTTCTTCCACCAAATCTGAGATTTCACTAGAACTCTGCAGAGTCAGTCCACATATATACAGACCTCTCCCCAGGCTCAGTCCTGTTAAGGCCCCGTTGAGATCCTACCAGTTCTGCAAAGCTCCCAGCACTATCTATAATAGAACTGGTATCTCTCTTTGGGAATTACTTGAAACCCAATGACGATAATTTTTCTTATGTTCATGTCTCATTACCTACAAGTAGATTGGTTTTTGCATAAAGTCAAGAATCATGTCACATACATTTTGTCTCTATTCAGGAGAATAACTCGGGCGTTGCTCAGGGACTCTATTGTATAAATGTTTGTTGTTGCTGTAGTGGAATCAGACAGATGGCTGAATCTGTCGTTTACTATGTGACTTTGGGGAAATTACCTAATCTTTTTGAACCTAAAGTTCTTCGTCTATACAATGGTGATCATAAGACGGCTTATCTCTTAAATTTGTTGGCACACTTAAATGAGCTATGTGCTTAGTATAGAATCTGAACTTTAGTAAGTGCTTAATGTAGGTTTTGTTGAAAATTTTAAAATATCTATGTATATATATATATATATATATATATATATATATATATGCCTTTACCAGAGCCCATCTCTCATTTCCACATTTCCTCCTATATGAATGTTTACTACTGAGTAACTACCTATTTGCTAGAAAAATAAAGTAACTTGATGAACTTTAAAGATGTCTTAAAAAAAAAAACTTGTGTCTTAGATAGCTCAGTCTGCTATAAAAAATGCTGTAGACTGGATGTCCTAAACAGCAGAAATTTATTTCTCACAATTCTAGAGACTGGAAGTCCAAGTCCAATATCTCTCTCCCTCTCACTCTCTATATATCTGTATGTATGTAGATATATAGAGCTATATATGTAGACATCTGTATATTCTCTCTATATAGCTATATATAGAGAGAGAACTATATAGAGAGATACATTCCTCTCAGATATATATATATAGCTATATAGAGAGATGCATTCTCTCTATATAGCTACATATATATATCTGAGAGGAATGTATCTCTCTATATAGTTCTCTCTCTATATATAGCTATATAGAGAGAATATATAGAGCTATACATATACATAACTCTATATGTAGCTATATATATAGCTATATAAAGCTATATAGCTTTATATAGCTCTCTCGATATATGCATAGCTTTATATACATAGCTATATATATATATATACACACGCACACACATATATATATATAGCTATATAGAATGTATCTCTATATAGCTAGATATAGATATCTCTCTATACAGCTATATAGAGAGACTATATCTCTCTCTCCATATATAATATGTGTGTGTGTGTGTATATATGTGTATATATATATATATATATATATATATATATATATGAGAGCCCTCTCATTCTCTCAGAGAGAGACAGACAGATGAGGACACAGCAAGAAGATATATACAACTCTCTCCCTCAATATACATCTATGTCGAGAGATATCTATATCAAGAGATATATTTATACATCTATCTATATAGAGAGACATATCTATATACCTATCAATACATAAGTATATCTATATACCTCTTGATATAGATATCTCTTGATAGATATCTATATCGAGAGAGAGAGACGTATGTATCTTCTTGCTGTGTCCCCATCTGTCTGTGTCTCTCTCCAAGAGAAAAAGAGGCCACTGATGTCTCTTCCTTTTCTTATAAGGACGCTAATCCCATGATGGGGGCTCCACTGTCACAAGCTCATCTAAGCCTAACTACCACCTAAAGACCTCACCTCCAAACACCATTACTCTGGGGATTAGGGCTTCCAATCTGCGTCTGGGCGGGATGCAAACATTCAGTGCCCAGCAACTCTCTTTTTCAACACTGAGGGATAAAAGGTAGAAAAGGGGAGAATAAAGAAGAAGTAAGTAGAGAAATACAGGACTAAGGGAAGCAGAAAAACTACTTTTTTCTACACACTTCTCACCCATGACAGCTTTCTACTAGCACCTAACCGTAGATACCTGAGGGTGGGGACGGAGGCTGCAGCCAGGAGCACAGGACTCTGCTTTAATGAAGGGCGGTGCTCGTGCTCGGCAGTAGGCCTGCTGAGGTGAGCTGGGGCTCTGTGAGAGGACTGGCACTCAGGGGAGGGAGGCCGAGGCTGCGCGGTCCCAAGGGAGAAGAAGGACCAAGACCTGAAGGGCTTGGTGAGGGCACTGGGTGAGAAAACTGCCTGCCAGTCACCCTCACACACAAGATCAGGGCGGCAGGGAGCAGCCTCCTGGTTAAGGCAGACCTGATCCCACCCAGCAAGATGGGAGGAGCCTGAGAGAAAGACGGAACTGAATCCACGTTGACAGGATTCCTGTACTCAGCCCGACCTGTAATGGCCCTTTCAGAAAACACCAGCCCACGTGGGCTCAAAGGTGGCTGGCTGCTTGGCTTACACAGAGACATCTGAAAGCAGATAGTGGTTTGAAAACATTCCCATGAGATTCAAAAAGGGACCACAGGCTGATCGGGGAAGGGAGGAGGGGGTCAGAAAGTTAGAAACCATTGATAAAATCTTGACATTTCTTAGGGAATTCATGCTTCTCCAGGCAAAGTGACTGGAGAAAGAAACCAGAAAATGGTTCCAGTACAGATGAGGGGTTAACCGCCTCCCCATTTTTAAACCTTCACAGGACTTCCCTCCAAAGTTTACATAATCCCAGATTATTTCTCAAAAGTGTTATAATGTACAGCATTATTATTTTGAAGTAAAACTCACAATGCTAAAGTTTGAATTTATTTAGATCTATGACAATATTTAATTTCTTTTGTCAATATTGCTGAACGTGTTCTAACTTCATATGGACAGTGAAACTGAGGAACCAGGAAGGGTTACACACCAACCAGTATACACAACTCCACAGCCCATAGAGCACCAGGGGAACGGGAAGGATATGGTGCTAGCTGTCCCCACTCATAGTCTGAGACAGGGCCTCAAGAGGGGGTGTAGTTTCAGATGCTTCAGAGAACAGGACCACAACTAATGAGGAGGAAGGACAGACAGGCAGGTTTCAGGCTCAGTGCAATTGAGAATTTCCCAAAAGAACAAGATGCCCTGTGAGTTGCTGAGTGTCCCCTCCTCCTGCTGAAGGTATTCAAGTTCAGACTGGATGGCCATTACCAGAGATTAGGAAAAGGACGTGAAGTTTGCCACTCTGCTTCGATGTTCTGCCCCTGCCAGAGGCCCAGGGTGCAGATGAGGGAGAGGCAGGAAGTGTTTGTGACCGTGATCCTGATAGGAATCTTCAAAGACCCAGACTCTGCCCCTATATCAGCCCCAGCATCTTTCTTTACTCTCCTCCGGTCAATCTGTCTTTTCTCTGCACCCTAAGCCATTCTGAGCCCACAGGAACTTTTTACACTTGATCTCCACTTGGGTTAAGTACTTGCTCCCTGATGTGTGAGGTAGCCTTTAACTAGTTTTGGTTTTAAACAGACCTCTTTCGAGTTAGAACGTGCTCTCTACTTACAGTATTCTGGGATTTTTAAGAATGATTCTGTGTAGCTATTTGTCTGACAACTTTCTTTATAATTCTATAGCCTCTCCTAGATTTTGTCTTCCAAACCATAACCCACATATATCAAATCCTTTTCATACTAAAATCTGTCACCTTGATAATTTCACTGTCCTTTGGATCTTTTCTACCTCTTTTTTGTGCCTTCTTCAAGTGGAATGCCTGGAACCTTCTGCAGTTTCAGCTTATATATACTACAGTTTTATACATGTTTACAGGAAACAGTGTGGTATATATATATTTTTAAATGCTGATTTTAGGGCATAGAAAATGCTGTATCTTTGACTGAGAGGCTGCCCAACTTTGGGAAAGTTATTTAACCAGCCACTTTGAGCATCAGTTTCCACCTCAGTCATTCATGAAGTAAACAATGGAATAAACAACCCATTCATGAGGATAAACATCTAAAAGCCAGGTATATTGTCTTGCACTCAGTAGGCACTGACTAATTTAGAGGAGGAGAAGAAAGAGAAAGTTCCCATTGTTGGTTGTCTTTTCAATAGTGGAAGACATACTTTAATGTAGTAGGTAACAAACATTTTTATAAAGTACTTTTGAACCTCTCTGTAACATTTACCCTCCACTTTTCTGCCTTATATCCTCACACTTTCTACCTTCTGTTTCTCAGGAGAGCTCTTGATAGACAAGAAAGAGGGTACCGGAAAGTGTTTGGAAGCCCACTGAGAAGGAAAATATTGTTTCTGTGCTATTCCCTTGGGAATTCAGTGATACTGAGCAGGAGATGGATAACATTTCCAAAATATACATAGTTGGAATCTCTCTGTAAAATTCAAATTTCTCTTGGTCATAGTCATTTAAATTGATCTATTTCAGCCATGTATATAAAAACATTGTGTTTATATTTTTAAATGTAAATTAAGCTTATGGCCTTGCATCTTTACAAATATAAGTAGATAATATATGAGACATATACAGTGTTAGACCATTGTCTTCTGTTTACTGTTTAGACAGTGTTAACATCTCCCAGAAGCAAGAGCTATGGCGGGAGAAGTGGGAGAGGCACAACTTGCCAAGCAGAAGCCTCTCTCGGCGTTCCATCAGCAAGGAGAGATGGGTGGAGACACTGGTGGTAGCTGACACAAAGATGATTGAATACCATGGGAGTGAGAATGTGGAGTCCTACATCCTCACCATCATGAACATGGTATGCCTGACTACATGGAGGGTGGGGCAGCTGGTGAATAGATGTCATTAGAGATACTTACATAAACAAATAAGAAATGCCTTTTTAGGTTCTTTCAAGTCATTTTTTATAAATATGTATGTGAATCTAGCACCTGCCTAAGGATGAATATGGATGAAAATTCAGGATAAATTAGTCTTTCCCTTAAAAATGTGTATTCTGGGAACATTTTAGAATTTATTAGTTACATATTTCTGATAGGTATTTACAAAGGACTCAATCCTTTTAGTGTGGCTTTGTCTCATTGGTTTATGTTAGTAAACTGAGGCAAAGAAGTAGAACGTAATTTCCTCAAAATAGTTAGAAATAGAATTGGAATAAAGTTAATGACTCCTAATTTTGAGCTTCCTCTTTGCATTATTGATGTTTTCTGCCTTTAAGAGAATGTTAGTTCTGTTGAGATGGGAAAAGCCATTTGCCTGAGTAACTGATAATAAAAGAGGAGAATACTGTGGCCTGAGTTAAGAAAAGAAAAATGTTAATCCCTCAAACACACAGCCAAGGAATCACCCTGAAAGATTGTCTTTAAATACTGTAATGTGGAATGAGCTGTGGGCATATTTCACTCTTCTTAGCATACCACCAAACATGTCTGACCTATAAGAAAACCTTTATCTTATGTGCATTACAATGCTATTTTCTACTCTGGTATTTATTTATCATTTCTTTATGTGGGTCTAATGGTTTTCTCTTTCTGACCCTAGGTCACCGGGTTGTTCCATAACCCAAGCATTGGCAATGCAATTCACATTGTTGTGGTTCGGCTCATTCTGCTTGAAGAAGAAGAGGTAACATTTTCCCTCCACTTTTCGGCCTGATATCCTCGCACTTCCTACCTCCTTTTTCTCAGGGGAGCTCTTGGTAGACAAGAAAGAGGATACCAGAAAGTGTTTGGAAGTCCATTAAGAAGGAAAATATTATTTCTGTGTTATTCTCTTGGGAATTCAGTGATACTGAGCAGGAGATGGATAGCACTTTCAAAATATGCATAGTTGGAATCTTGACAGTCATAGCATCTAATAACATGCACATGAGGCTTACCACAGTCACTAAGGATATTCTGCAAAAGAATAAACTAAATCACAACATGGTTGGATGGTTTCAGTAAAAGTTAAGAAAGACATGGAAATGTTGAACTTTCGGTACTGTTAATTTACTTTTTGCATATTTAACACAAGTCTCTCAGATTTGGGACCTCTTTTCTATCTGCATGTTTACCTTTGGGATTTCATCTACTATCAGAGACTTACATGTCATCTGTGTTCTAAGACTCTCAATTGATACCTCAAGCCTAGACCTCTTCATTGAGCTTTAGGCTCGTATCCAATTACTTACTTGAAATCTCCACCTGGCTGTGTCAAAATCCATTCAATCTTGAAAACTTCATAAATCCAGAATGGAACCTTGATTACTCCCTGCCTAAATCATCTCAATTCTGCCACTTCCATTCCCCAAATTGCCATCTTACCCACTCAGTGAATAGTACTACTATGCATTGGTTACATAAACCCAGGAGAGATTTTTGAATTCTTTTTTCACATGTTCCACATCCAATAGCAAGGCCTACTGTGATCCTACTTCCAAAATACATCTCAAAACCACCTACTGTTCATAATCTCTGCAGTCATCACATTGGTCTGACCTTATCATATCTTGTATCGGCTACCGCAGTGAACTACCAAATGGTTGCTTCCTATTTTCAGCCTTACCGTCAGAATTCATTCTCCATGGATGATCATTTTAAATGCAGCCATAATTGATCATTTTAAATATAAACTGAGGTGCTACACTGCACAAGACCCTTTAATGGCTTTCTGTTTCTTTTAGAACAAATTCAAAATTTCTTGCTGTGACCTGTGGAGACTTTCGTGATCTTGCCCCGTCCACCTTTCTGGTCTTTGCTTACGTTACTCTCTTCCTTTTTTTCCTTTCACACTCACTGTCTATTTACTTATGGTTTCCAATGCCTGAAACATCCTTCTCCTTGTTCTGCACGTGACTGACACCTTCTCATGCCTCAGGCCCTGTGTAAATGCTGCCTCTTCAGAAAGGTCACAGTGACCAATTTATTCAAAGCAGACGCCTCTTACTGCTTTTATCACAGAATGATGGCAGTCTCACAATTCATCATGATTCTGTATATTTGTTTACTTTTTTTTTGTTTTTTTGTTTTGTTTTGTTTTGTTTTGTTTTTGCTTATCACAGTCTCTACTAGAATGTAAATTCCGTGAGGGTAGAAGCCATATGTCTTTATTCTGTTAGATCCCTAACACCTAAAACAGTGCCCGGGACACAAATAAATGAAAGAAGTAAAATGTAATGAATGGAAGGACCAGCCAACTGATGAAATCCCCTTGCAATCTATAGAGCTTTACCAGCAGCTGGGATGTGTGAAGAATGGCATCATTCAGCTCCCCATCAGCAAGAGACCTGCAGTCAGAATCCCAAGGGAGGGCTTATTGTTTGCTTGACAGGAAAAGTCTCCATGATCAGTTAGAAGATTTTTTTAAAAACAATCTCTGGAGCCAGGGTCCATGTTTTCTTCTTTCCCCTATAACCCCATCTCCCTTTGCCACCTAAAACATACTTTGGGTATCTCGGAATACCAATGGGTATGTCATGCCCCTTCACGTGATTTTTTAATTAAGAAAATGTATTCAAAACTTGGAAAGCAGGCAACATGGAAATTATATATCCTTTTAATGTTTAAAGAGACCTACCTGACTCTATGAAAATGTAACTGGTTATTTACTATCGATTGGGGCACAGATGTGGTCAAGTTAGATGTTGACATGTAGAAAATGATAGAGTACAAATGGTTTTTGCCTAGTAGAGGTGAAAATGATTCGAGGCCAGCAGAGAAGACTAGTCTGAAGATAGTTTTATTGGTTGGTGGAACTAGACCAATAAAAATCGGTATCTAATTTTATACCTAACTCAGCTATCTCGTTCAGCAGTTCTCCCCTGCTAGCTATAACTTCATCAGTTTTTTTGCATCTGCCTTTGAACCAGCTTTTCCATCTTGCCTATCTCCTCATTAATGAGCAAAATTATCTTGCCTGTCTCCTCACTAATGAGTTAAATACATCTTGAACATGTGCTTGTTATATATTTGTATGAGAATTGTTTTTGGTTTTTGAAAAGCATACTTTGATAACTTGGAGAAAAAAATTTACTTTTTCATAATGGTTGAGCACATAGGCATTCCTAGATACAAATGTGAAGAAACATTTAGTGTTTTCAGATAAAAAAGAAAAAGAAAAATATTTCTGGGGGTGTAAGAAGGAAAAATCCCTGGGTTTAAACTGCTGTCATGAAAAACAGAAGGAAAAATCTTGACCCTCTGTAGTCCCAGCGGCATTACTGGTAGGATGTCATAATGTGGCTTCCATGGATCAGGCCCCTTCAAACTCTGCATCTATTAATTCCCAAGAAATAATGCCGCCAGGGCATCTCCATGGCATGTTGATGCCAGTGAAGTTGTTTGAAGGAGCTTGATTGGCCAGTGCCACGACTCCATCACAATGACATTGTTTATCCTCTTCCCTACCAATCTGGTTTGGCAAGTGCAAAGAGACACATGATTTGCTTCAGGAAGCCATGGCTCTCTCTCTCCCACTTGCCAAATATTATCCTTGTTCAAGCTTTTCTGTAGTCTCTAATTGGCACAGGTTTCCCAAGTTAACAGCAGAATTGCAGTTCACAATTCCCATTTTCCTGATTCCCAGGAAATGGCTCAAGCCATTCTTCATATCTGTGACTAATAAGCACCCCAATAATAGACAGTAACAGTTCCAGCCCTTAACTAATGTCAACATGGCTGACACAGGAAGTAGAGTGTGAGGTCAGCACTGTGACTCCTTCAAACAAGTTGACTCGAGTTCAGTAACTCTGAGGAAGTTATATCATTGATCCATACCCATTTTTCTTTTCCATAATGAAAAGAGGGTTGTGGAACATCAGGTATATGTTGAACTCTGTGCTAGCACCAGGGATGCAAATATGAACACAAGTTCCATTTCCTGATTCTGAGGAACTTTAAGTCTACTGCACAAAAACACAAAAATAGAAAATTTCAAGTTGAGATTGGCATGAGTATAAAACTACTGGGATAGAAAAGGGTACTTGGATGTCTAACCTGGGATTTTAGAAAATACAAAGGAATTAACTAGTGAGGAAGTGACATGGTTATACTTTGTGTCCCCACTCAAATCTCATCCTGAATTGCAAGACTCATAATCTCCACATGGCAAGGGAGAGATCAGGTGAAGATAATTGAATCATGGGCGTGGTTCCCCCAAACTGTTCTTGTTATAGTGAATGAGTTCTTATGAGGTCTGATGGTTTAATAAGGGGCTCTACCCCCTCTGCTCGGCACTTCTCCTTCCTTCCACCTTGTGAAGAAGGCCCTTTCTTCCCCTTCACCTTCCACCATGATTGTAACTTTCCCGAGGCCTCCTCTGGGCCAATTAAATCTCTTTCCCTTATAAATTACCCAGTCTCAGGCAGTTCTTTATAGCACTGTGAAAATGGACTAATATAGGAAGGAAATTCCAAGTGGAAGGACCTGCATGGGCAGTGGCTTTATTCTTAAAGCAGCACTATGCATAAGAGAGGCAGTGGATGTATCACTGTTATTGGACCACAGAATGGGAGGTTGAGAAGTCTTGTTGTGATAGAAAGGAAACAAAGTGATTATGCTAGAAGCAGGAGAGGAAGCAGACACTCAAAACCTGCCCACCTCTAATCACACTTGGGTTTTTCCCAGTGTTTCTCATGTCTGCACATGACATTATTGTCCTTTCAGTTGCAGAAGCCAGAAATCTGGAATGCACTGATGATACCTCCTTCTCTCTCTCCCATGTCAAGTTTTTTATCAGGTGCTGACCATTTATCTGACTGTCTCCATTTATATTACTTCAATTCAAGATACAGTTATCTCTTTTCTGGACTACAGTGGTGTATACTTTCTGGTCTACTCAAAACCAATTGGATTTCTTTTCATCTTGTTTCTGCAATGTAGTCGGGATAATCTGAAAATGGTAATCTGATCATATCCAACCTCCTGCCACCCCTTCTCCAACCCCCATACCTGGCTTAGTTTAGTCCAGTGGTTTTCTGATTCCCTGTCTTATCTCTTGCTACTCCTGCCTTTGCTCTTGAGAGGTAGCAATAACTCATCATGCTTTTTCAAGGCCTGCCACTGGTCGTCTTGTTGCCTGGACTGTCTATGTTCACTTAAATTGTTAGTACTTAAGCTGTTCAGCTCAATATCTGGGATTACAGCTCCAGTGTCACTTCCTTGGGGAAGCCTTCCCTGACCCCCTAGTAAGATTCTATTATTTACTCCCAAAAAACGGCATTTCTCCTCCACAACATGTTTCACAGTTGTGATCTTAGATCAATTTGATTAATACAGTTTCCTCAATTAGTACGTAAGACTTAAGAGCAAAGGTTGTGGTTGGTGTTGGGTATATAATAGACCCTCAATAAATATTTGTTCAAATATTAAATAAGAGAGTATGTGAATGAGGCCAGCAGTCTGTCAGTGAACCAGAGTCTGTGGTAGCCAAGTTGCCATGAGCCTTGTGGCCACATACAGGCTTTAGATCTAATCCTGTGGGATGCTTTAGATTATTTGAACCCAACAAATGAAATTAGAGAGATTACTCAGGCTCTGTGGAAAGTGTGTGAGGCGGGGAATCCCGAGATTGGGTATCTGAAATAGATTCCTTTCATTAGTGACTTTGATCACTCTTGTCTTTCTTATTCTAAACACATCTCATGG